AAATATCTATGAACATATTCTCGAAGTACTCATTACAGATTTGTTGTTTCTTCATCAGAGGGTTGCCAATACTACCACGCATGATTGTTGAACGAAGTCCCTTGTCAGAGTTCATCCAAAAGTCCGGTTAACTGCAGCAATACTTATACTGGAATTTCTCGAAGGATTTACAATGATTTACAATTTTAATTGATCACTCGCAACCCCTCAGTATACCATGTGTTCTTAACCTTCATTTTGGTCGTGTTTTTTGTGTTCACGAGACAAGTTGCCGAAACAGTTTCTGAATTCCACGTTCTACCGTAAACAAAGATATTCAAGAGCGAAATATTTCATTGCTTTTTCATTCCTTTTAACTACATCAATTCGACACTTTAATCAACAGCATGGATATTTATGTCGTACATAATGGTAAATCAGGAAAAGAAAGTAACCATTAACCATTGTGACGTCGGTTTTCGTTACTATTTCAGGATAAAGGGCCATATGTGGCGTCATTCAGTTTATTAAACGTATGGTGCGGCGCTTATCTCCGTTCTATGCCATGAGAAAAGAGTGCGTTATTCTATTAATGGCAGAAATTACGGCTACACGATAAGCGTAGCGTCTAGTCCATTGGTTCGCAATCATTTATCAACATAGGAAGAAAAAAAGGACGAGTGGCCCGAACGGGCTCGAACAGAGACCCTATCGGCTATGAGTCTGACGCTCTGCCGACCGCAGCGGTCAATTATTAAAGACATCATTTCGAATAAAAACATGAAACCATAAACCGCATCTGACGCATTTGATAGACTGGCACAAAATCGTACTATGCACACTTTTTCGAGCATTGCAAGAAGCGTAAGTTAAATACTTTAAACGTTGGTCATAATCTGAAGTCGAAAGGACAGGAAAGAAAAATTTCCAATCATGAAAAACTTGGCTAATCCGAAATTTGCAAACAACTAGAATCAATGTCTTTTAAATCACAACTTAAAAGAAATATAAAAGCAGATGACACGGCGTCCAATCCCAGTAGATATATCGTCAGAGCAGAACAGAAAGGTTCATTTGTCTAACAGAATAACAAAACTCCGCCATTGCACGTCACAAGACCGGTTCAAAAAGGAGGAGGGTTCGAGACCGTGGCAAGTCTCCGTAAAATTCAGCCACCTGCCACTCATGGTACTGACGCCTTCGAAAATTATACCGGCTCGATCGTCGCCCGAGTTACCAAGGGCCGCGCAGGCTGTAGGGGGACTGAGGCAGACTGCGAAAAGTCGGCGATCAGAACCTGCTCATTGCTCTCTGCCAGCCTGGGGCGTGGCAGCACAACGACGGCTGACGAAGACCGACGCAACGACGACAAAGATACCAGTCAGCAACGG